TAAGAGAAAGGCACAGAACCACAATAATGAGTGTAGTTAACTTAATTCTCTAATCCTTTCTTCTGCTCTCTTTTTCGCCTTTCTTTCTTTTCCTTCTCATTCCAATTTTCTCCTTTATTGTTTTCTGTAAATGTTTAGACTTGTGTACGTATCACATTCACGTATCCATTCCATAAGAATGCTTGAGCTATTTTGGTGGATAGCATTTAGTCCCAGCTTGATTTTCATGTAGAATGGGAGTGGAAGAACACTTTAGTGTCAAGAAACAAAGTTTGCTAGCCAGTTTACGCAGTTTGCATGTCTACTGGCAATGAAGAAAGACAGATCTTCATGTCAACATGCTGACTCATATACTCTACCGCCACCTCAATGACTGAAGAGTATGCAATCAATTATGTGACACAGCGTTGTCTATTTGATGGGCTACATGTGTATGTGAGGCTATTATAATAGATTAGCTCCTATTAAGGTAAAATCATTATGTGGAAAACTCTCTGCCTGCCAAATGCCAGCTTCTGCCAAACCATCTGATCAGTGTTATAGAATATCTAAGCATTTATTCTCAGAAAAGTGACTGTAGTAAAACAGCAGCCTCACATTCAGCACATTGGCCCTCTCTTCTCCTTGCTTCAAGTCACATCTGCTGATTTCATGGTTTGATACTTTTTTTTTTATTCTTCTTAGCTCTCTTGAGCCTGTTGTATCCCATCCGGCCTCCCAGCCTTACACACTAAACCAACCAAGCTCAGATCAGGCTTTCTGCTAAGCGGGAAGGAAGGACGAAGCACAGAGGGGCATAGAAACATTATACTGAACTCTGGTAGGCTTGGAGAATATTTGCCCCAAATTGATCCCTTGAACCTTGAACCTAACAAACTTGCTTGGTACTCGTTGTCATATTGTGGAAACCACAGTATTGAATTGGACTTGGTTTCAGCCACACCCCTAACGGTAGGCATAGATAGGATCTCAAGCAAGACATGAAATATCTCGGGTCCTCAAATTTTTACAAAATAAGGAAATGGATTGGGAAGATTTTGAGGATATGTTTCAGTTTTATATTCCAAGAATCTCAGATGTATTTTGAAAATTCTTTTTTGACTCTAAACTTAATAGCAGTGCATTTAATTATGAGGTTCAGTGATCTAGTTATCTCTTTTGTAACAACCCACCCCAAATTTTGTGGCTTAAGAAAACAGCATCTATTTTTCTCACAAATCTGCAATTTGGGTAGGAATCTGTCAGGCAGTCATCTCTACCCTGCTCAGCATCGGCTAAGGCAGCTCAAAGGCTGGGGGTTGGAATCATCTGAAGCCTTGTTGACTCATGTACTTGGCAGTTGATGTTTGCTGTTAGCTGGAACTTAAGCTGGAACTGCCAGCTGGAACCTCTGTAGGTGGCATTTTCATGTGTCCTGAGCCTCCTTACAACATGGTGGCTGGGTTTCCAGGGCAAGCATCTAGATTGAGGGAGCCAGGAGGAAGCTGTGTTGCTTTTATGAGCTAATCTTGGAAGTTGTGCAGAGTCTCTCTCACCACATTCTATTTGTCAAGAAAGTCATAAAGGTCTGCCCAGTTCAAGGGGAAAGGAAAAATTGATAGGGGTGTGGCAAGGTGCTGGAAGAGCTGGTGGGACTGGAAGTATTTCTGTGGCCAGTTTTGGAAAATATAATCTGCCACATTCAGGTTATAACAAGGGCTTATATTTGAATAGAACTGCTATGGAATAGATGTGCTAATATCACTGCTTGGGAACTCAGCTTCCTCATTAATAATTTAAAAAGGAAAAAAAATGAGTGATTCTAAATCCCAGAGTCTCTGCTTAATATCCCTATATCCTTATTTCATTTAATCTTCATTTTTACAGATGAAGAAATGGAAGTAGGAGTTGTTCAAGTACCTTGCCTAAGTTCTCATAGCAGGCAAGTGTGCAGTGGAAAGTGGACTTCAGAATCAAGCCTGTCTAGTTACAAAGCCCATGTCTCTTCTGCTACCCCGTAGTGCTTCACACATAAAACTCTTGTTTTCATGTTTTAACTTTATTTTTGTTGTTGTTGAAAGAGGGTAAATTCAGATGATATTTTAGGTGCGACTTAAAAGGGAGAAGAGCTGCCAGATAGTTTAACACCTGAAGTGACTCCATATCTAAAATTAGTCTTTGAAAATTAGTCAACAAGAGTTGATTGCTAATAGCCATTTTTCCTCTTGCACTGGAGAAGGCAAAGCAGGATGATAGCCTGGCTGTTATTGGTACCTAAGGTCTGGGGAAAATGCTGAAGCATGTCTCTGATTCATAGCTGATGGTATGTATGACCATAACGTGAGTAAAAATTTATGAGGCAGTTCTCTAAGGGTCAATGATGAATAAGTGTATAAAGTGTCATTAGAGTCACATGTGAGAACACAGAAGAGTAGACCAAAGCTGGCCAGTGGTCTGGACTAAAAAGGAGTCAAGCAATTGTTGCCTGAGGTTGGCCTCCTGTGTTTGTAGGCCAGGCCCATGTAAGAGAATGGAGCAGGCAAGAGTGTCTTTGCTTGTCCCTGGATTAGGTTCTTCTACCAAATTTATGTGTCAGGTATGCATGCCAGATTGCCAGCAGTTTTAAACAGAAGGCTTTGTGAAGGCTCTCTGCCTACACAGGGTCACCCTTTAATGATTGCCTACCCCATTCATTCAGTAAAATCAATCAAACAACAACAAAACAAAATGTAGCTGACCTGATCCAACTATCTTTTAACATATTTGGCATTGACTTGACCCAACCGGGTATGGCATCGTGTGAACATAGGCTTATAGGGATTCACCTCCTATCCCCTGCTTTTTTTTTCCCCCCACACATAAGCTATAGAGAAATCTATGGTCTTTAAGAAAGTTATTATAAGAATTTTTGTTTTTTGTTAACAATGGGGTAGCTGTTAAAAGACCACTGTGGGTCTGGTTGACAAAAGATTTTGCCTCATTGTCTACATCAACACACTGCCTTAGTACAAATGGTCTCCCAAGGACAATTTTTAGGTCTTAGCTGTGAGATTTATTTTTCTCATGTGCTTGCAGCAATTTCAATTGCTTCATAGCTCAACATCTGGACCACATTTGGCTTCATTGTTGGAAAATAAATTGGCATTCCAGATCACGAACAAGGGGCTGACCTTGCACTGGAAAGCAGCGACCATGCCTTCAGTTGATAGACCAGTCTTCCTTGACTATGGAGAAAAAGCTGAAATGCATCTCTTTTCTGGAATTAGTGCCATCTCTCAGAAAAGCCTGAGTCTGCTCACAATAAACTGGACATTTGCCCTAGGATGTGGAGCAAAAGATGACACTAATTGGAAATTGGCATCCTGGAAAACATGTCACAGTCATCGCCTGCAGGAAGATAACCCTTATCATGTGCCAGCACTGAACTGTGGGCTCCATGGACCTGCCTGTGTCTGCTCACACCTGTTCCAACATGGGTGCCAAGAAATGGGGGGTCAGGAGGAATTAGACACACAGAGCCTTTGGGAAGCCACAGAAGTCACAGAGCCCTTTGAAAGTCCTTTGGAATTATAATAGATTCGACAAGGAGGGGATGGCCTATGTAGATGTATTTGGCTGTGGTCATGAGCATTGAGAATCCCATGTCAAGCACCAATCTGAAGAAACTGAACACTGAAGGAAAAGGAAGATTTAAGGAGCCAGAAATAGACACCATGAAAAAGACAGAGGATTTACATTACTGCTAAGTTTTATTTTTATTGCAACTTTTTCTTTTTAAATTAGGGGTGATGTACAAATATGGAGATAGAAATGCATTGCGTTGGCATAAATAAATAGACTTATACACACTAGTATCTTCTGCTATTTAATGGATTGGGGCAGATTGTAAGTCAAATCATGGCCCAAGAAGTGTCACTTGTAAGCACATATAAAACCTGACATCACAATTAGCATAAATGTGGCTGTTAATCCTAACTGTGAAATATAAAGTGATTACACTTTGTGATCACACCTCTGTTATTTTATCTCCTTACCTTCCTCTCATAAAGGGCTCCCAAAACTTTTATTTATATGGGACTGCGTAAGATGCAGAAGTGAGGAATAGATATAGATGACTCTGTGTAGCCAGGAGACACTGCTTTTTTCCCACTATGGCATGTTAACTCCTTTTCCTACTATTCAGTTAGTTCCACAAAAGTTTACTAGGATCCCATTTGGTGTCAGACACTGTGTGCTAAGCACTTGGGATACAAAATATTTAGGCCACTTTTAGCTATTTCCCAGATTACTGCACTAGTCTCTCAGTCAGGGATCTTGTTTCTGGTCTCACCACTTCACCATTACACTTTTCCCAACTTGCTCTTCAAAATACAGATTGAGTCATCTTTCTAAAATGTAAATTCTATCACATTACTTCCATGAATTAAATTCTTTAGTTGTTATCAGTTGCCCTCAGGATACAGTCCTAGCTCTTTGGCAGGACACCTGAGATTCTGCTGAGCCTGCTACTGCTTGCCCACCTCATCTTTGGCCACCCCTCATCACGCCTCTGAGGCATGTTTAACTGAGCACAGTTACACAGAACGACTTGCAATTACCTGAAAGCACCATGTGCTTTCTTATCTCTAGGTCTTTGCAAAAAGTGTTCCCTCAACCTGGATTACCTTCTGCCCCTCTGCATGTGGTCAATACCTACTCATCTTTCCTACCTTCATTGAAATGCCACTTCCATTGGGGAGCTTACCATAACTTTCCTTCTACACTGCTGCAGCACCATTAGCTTAATCGAGTAACCATCTCTTATTGGTTAAATGATTTATTTTATCACTCACTAGTATATTTATCACTCGTTTACATCTCTCTAGAGTAGTTAAGTCTTTGATTAAAATATAACAAATCTACGCACTCCTACCCTTGGTTTTGTCAGTGTCTTGTGCACACACCATCAATATTATAGCTATGTGCATATTCTCATACTTATTTAGCATTTACGATGGCAAAGAATAGTTTTTCACTTATCATTATTTAATCTTTAAAACAACTCTAAGTAGTAGTTATTACTGCCATCATCTCATTTTCAGCTACATTTAATTAATTTCCGCAGGTGTTTAGAATAGCAGAACTAAGATTTAAACCCTGACCTGTAAGACACCAGAGTCTATTTTGCTCTCTCTTAACACACAGTATAATAAGTTCCTTCTGTCTGTCTCTCACTTATTTAATTTTAAACTTTCCAAGGTTAAGAATAACGTTTTAATCATAGTTACAGCTCCAGTACATAGTACAATGTCTTTCATGCAATGCATTTTGAGAACGCAGAGAATGGATGGGGAGGCCTTTGCACCTATCCTTAAGTTGCTCATAGAACTAGAGGGCAGACACCTAAAGGATAATTTTGATATAATGAGATAAATGCACTATAATAGATAGGCACGGGTTACTATGAAGTGAGGAGGAGGGACGTATAGCCCAGACTTCAAGTGCTTGGTTTCCTAAAAGAAGTAATGCCTGAATTGAATATGAACACACTAACTTCTTAGATGCATTTGCACTAAATGTGTATCTAGGGGAAATTCAAGTAATGTAATCTTCTTCATGACAAAAAATTAAACTGCAGTCATATTTTTGAAACATTTAGCATGTGGCAGATGAGGTGTGGAGAAATGGTATCATGTTAGGGTCAAGGGCTAGATTTAAAATTTTTGATTTGGCATTTTTCATGTGACAAATGATTATTGGAGTCTGGTTGAATAAAAACTCTAAGTCTTCAAGTAATATGAACTTGAACCCCCCCTCAATTTTGTTTAATTTTTTAAGTATGTAGAAACATTACCATTTCTATAATATCCAGACTAAAGTCTGTTTAGAAACTATCTGCATGACCTCTTGTCCTCATTCTTTTCACCTCTACAAAGGAGAAGTTGGGTTGAAGACTCCTGAAGGATATTTCCAGCTCTAGTAGACTCTGATCCTCAGTTTTGTCCGTGATTTACTCTGAGAACGTAGTAAAATGTCCACTGTTTTAATAAATGCATATAATCATATTCTGAAAGGAAAAGTAGTATTATAAGTCAGGTGGTTGCAACTTTGAGCTAAACTCCGAGCACTTCTAATCTGAATTCAGATGAGCTCCTGAGATCGGTATACCTGTATTTTTTAAGATTTTTTTTTTCTTCTTTGATGTGGACCATTTTTAAAGTCTTTTTGAATTTGTTGCAATATTGCTTCTGATTTATGTTTTGGTTTTTTTTTTTGGCTCTGAGGCATGTGGGATCTTAGCTCCCTGACTAGGGATTGAACCCGCACCCCCCGCATTGGAAGGAGAATTCTTAACCACTGGACCGCCAGGGAAGTCCCTAGCATACCTTTTTTAAGTTTGGTTTTTTTTTTTTTTTTGGTGGTACACGGGCCTCTCACTGTTGTGGCCTCTCCCGTTGCGGTGCACAGGCTCCGGACGCGCAGGCTCAGTGGCCATGGCTCACGGGCCCAGCCGCTCCGCGGCATGTGGGATCTTCCCGGACCGGGGCACGAACCCGTGTCCCCTGCATCGGCAGGCACGCTCTCAACCACTGCACCACCAGGGAAGCCCCGAAGTTTGGTTTTTAAGTGTGGTTACTGACACCGATTTCAAAGTGAGGGCTGCTGTCCTTGGTGCTGACAGTGATGTTTACATTGATCTTCTTGAGCAAGTGTGTGTGTGTGAAAGAGAGAGTGGGGGGTGTGGAGAGAGAGCGAGAGGTGGATGGGGACAGAGGGAGAGTTATCCAGGACACAGAAAAAAATGTCTCTCACTCGTTTAACCAGGAAGCATCGCTTTTACTCTGCTAAACTCATCTAGAGAGCTTCAAAGATTTTCTGGGATTCTTCATTATTTGATCTATATCTTTTTAAACTGTGACTGAATTTTTACATAAGGGGTTAAGAGTGGTTCCCCCTTAGCTTTTCATTTTCCATGTTGATTTCTCAGTTTGCCGTACAATAGCCTTTGTATGCGTATTGTGTCAGGGAGTTTCTTCCTTATATTTTAAGCAAATTTAAATACCCATTTGACATTATTCTTTGTGTTCTCCTCTTCACAGACATGGAAGACATCAGTTCAGTTTCTATGAACTTAAAAATAAATCAAGTTGTGATTAACCTATTTATGTAACTGGAAAATACTATGCCTCCTTTCCTCCCCTGCAGGATATCTGCTCCTCCTGTTTGTTCTTAATAACAACCACATTCTTTGGGCTGATGATATTATTTATTGAAAAGCATGGAAGACTACTGAGAGCCATTATCGTTCTTGCCATCTTTTTCTTTTCTTTTCTTTTCTTTTTAAAATAAGAATTATGAAGCTTTTGCCTCATCTCTCCATTTTCTGATCATTTCACTGATCACAGGTCAGCGTATTTCACACCAGGTACTATCTTTCAGACCAGTTTATTTATTCCCCTTTTAACCTTCCTTATGCAACTCACAGTTCTTTTTTTTCCCCCAATTCTTTTCCAGTTATCTTAGAAAGATTTGTCTCCCTCTCTTTGTTCCACTTGTGAGAAAAAAAAGGGGCTAATCCAGACTTTTCAGTATAAGAGTATTGCTGGCAATATCTCTATAGTAAAGGAAATGAAAGCTAGAAACTTTGATGTGGAATTAGGGAGAATAAAGAACCAGTGCCTTGAACTTTTAAACCCACTGAAAATACATTCAGTACCTTTAAGAGTCAACATTTTCTTCCTTATCTTTCTCTAGTTAAATTTACTTTCATCAAAGAACAAAATCTTTTTTTTCTGTTTTGTTTTCCCTTTTTTTGGCATTTCAATCATATTGTTTGCTACAGATTTTTTCTAATGCAATTGTACCATATTTCAGTTTCAGCTGAGGTTAAAAAAGCTTTTGTGAACTGGAACTTTACAGATGATGTATAACATTTCATTATGTTTTTGAGGTCTAAGCAATAGGTATATAACTTTTGGAAAATATTTATTTCCATCATGGGGCCTCTCTGTATTAATTTCTTATGCTTGATGGATTTTTTTTTATATGGACAGTTTTTAATAGTATTTTACAAAGGGTGATGTGCCACAGTTGTTTTTTTTTTTTTTCCCTAAACAAATATAATCAAATATTTATCCCAGGAGGGAGGGTAAAGGAATGTGCAAGCATTTGTTCATGTTGGTTCATCAGCAGTTACTGGGATGAGGAGGACAGAAAAACAAACAAAAATATCGGTTGCTTGAAAGCAAACAGTCAACACAGAGGTCAAATTGTTAATGGAATGTAGAACATTATGTAAACTTCCTTGTAAATTCTGTACATAGTTCATGGAACTGTTCCCTGTGGCGTGGTGGTCCTCAGCTTTTGGGTGGATGTTTGAAAAATATGAGCATTGTAAATAATGTAAGCTTACAAGGCACTCGCTTTTATTCATGAAGTGAAATGACTAGTGATTTGGGTCCAAACCAGAATCTTTTTAGCTCTTGCTCTTTCTCTGACACTGTGTATGTACAGTTGTGTAATTCTGCCAGGTGTCTGTGATCACTGCCTCATGCCTCAACCCCACTGAAAGGGACTGGAGCTACCAAGAAGTCTGCACACCCGTGGGGCTCAGGAACAGCACACCAGCAGAGACAGGAATCTTAACGAGCTGCTCCTGGAACTGTGACATGAAAAGTTTGACGAGCTTTTATCAGTCACTTGTGGCTGCTCATATATTCAGATACCAAATTATCCATGCTCTTGAGGGGGTCAAGAATAGAAGACATGATCAAAATCCACAGGGGATCCAAAGCTTCATTTGCACCAATAGCTTTAGCTTGTACCTTCTTTCCTTCCACAAGTTTTCCCAGAACTTCTAATACGAATAGAAATGGATGGATGGTTGATCAGGGTAAACAGTCAAATGTGCAAATGATGGGAAGGAGAAAAGTAGGAGTTAGCCAACGACATTGATAACACCAACTGGCTGATTCATGCCTGAAAGATCCAGAGGTAACCATGTCACTGTTTTTGAAGGGTAAAAAGAAGTATTGTATAAATGGACTGGGTATTAAGACAAGTATTTTTCAACTGGGGGCCTGGGATATGTTTGGTATGTGCTAGTTAAACTTAAAAGAGAATCTGGCAATTAAATGTTCTCAAATATATTTCTCCCAAGTCCTGGTATTCTTGAAAAAGTCTTCAGAATGGTGGGATATTATGCCATAAGATGTGTTTCCATGCAGACTGGCAGTCCCAGAGAGGGTGATGGTATCCACAGAAATTCAGAAATTCTAAGCAAGTAGGGAAATATATTGGTTTCTTAGCAACATTTGATAGTGATCAATGTCTTTCTTGCAGGTAAGAACTTAGCAAGGCAAGGCTTTTATTGCCAGCATTTTAAGTGCCAGGAGAGTGCAGGGAGCCATCACTGTAAGACATTTTGGCTCCAAAATGTGCCAAGTAGGGTCCACAATCAATTGAATAAGAAAAAAACCCTGTTGGAACTAATCAAGTCAGTTTCTAGGTCCAGAACACATTGTGCTTTTGCTTAAATCCTGCTTTTTCCAGATAACTGAAATCAACTAAGCTGACAGAGAACTCCACTGTTAGAGGCTGCAATTTCACAAACGTTTGAAAGGAAATCCTTTTCATTAGAAGAACTGCAAACCAGAAAATACTAAGTTCCTGGAAGGATAAGCATAGTTTTGAGTTTGTTTTTATTTCTCCAAACCAAGAATTTCCTTATTCGAACTGAAGAGATCTAACAGTTGTTTGTTTTGTTTCGGTTTTCCTATTTCAAAAAGTCCTTGGTACATCAAGGGACTGGCAACCATTCCTGATTGGCCCCTAGAAACTTTGTCCACCCTGGAACAATCAGCACTCATCACTAAGGCTTCAGTAGGAATTTGGTGTGGGAAAAGGAGGTATCTTTCTGAACCAGTTGGCAAAGAAAACCATTCTCATACCTGCATTTTCTCTCAAAAGCCATTGTGCAGCTTCTGAAATGAAGTTTATTGCTTATTAGCTGCTTCCAAGGAATTTATTAGATTCTGCAGCTCTTCTTTACTCATTTCAACAGAATACGGCTTGACTTCACCATTTTCTTTCACATCCAGATGAAGGTTTAAAAGTGGGATTTGTAGTGTAGCAATCTTGTCACTAGAAAGTGCAAGCTTTAACTGCCAATCAAAATCCTGTAGCTGTGAAGAGGAAATATCAACTATTTCTTCCAACAGAGCCTGCTTGATTTCATCTTTCCTACTTTTTAAGCATTTCATGATAGCTTCTTGATGAGATGAATTCAACTGATCCAACTGCTGAGATATCTCTTCATCAGGTAAATTTTTACCAACTACAGCTTTGAAAAAGTTGGTAATGTCTTCTAGAACATGCATCCATTCTGTTGAATCCCAAACACTGTGATAATCCTGGTAGAGAGGATAAGTTCGGCCACAAATGCCGTCAATTATTTTGTGAAGAAGCTGCAGGCCCAGCTCGGCAGGAAGCTTCTGCAGCTGCCACAAGGGACCCCCCTCTTCCGGCTCCATCCCTGCGAGTAGCGAGGTTCGCTTGATGGATTTTGTTAAATATTTCATTGCCATCCATTTATTTTCAAAACTGAATGCCTACATTTTCTTTTCATCAAACAGATAACCACCTTAGTAGGTTTTTATCTATTCACACCCCAGTTTTTAATATTCCTTCATTTATTCACATGGCAATTATTTATGACAATTATCAATAGAGTGCCTAGTACATATTAGGCATTGTACTAAGTCCTGTGACAGAGATATTTAAAGAATAGTCTTTATCTCAAGTTGCTCACTCTGTAATAGGGGGTACCAGATGAGCAAACATAATTGTGGGAGTGAATTAACTGAATTAACTCAGTTAATTGAATTATGACAGAGGTACCAAGTGTCATGGAACATAGGAAAGGGTACCAGCTTATCCACTGGGGTCCAGAGCTGGAAACTCTATGGTATGACCTTGAAGAATTGCCCTAATGGACTTACAACTGAGCAGTGTTTACTGGCCCTGATTGTGATACATCTGTGCAGTTGTATGGGCTTTGGAATCAGAGAGACCTGGAAACAAATTCTGGCCCAGCTGTTTCCTAAGTGGTGTTCTACTTGAGATTCAGTTTTTTCATCTACAAAATGAGAATGATGATACCTGCCTCACAAAATATGATTTGAATAAGATAATGAGGTTCATATCTTTTCTTTAAGCCCCTCCCCATAGACATTAATGATAACAAGACTGAACTCTGATTATCACACTTGGTAATGCTCAAGCCCTGGTTTAAGCTATTTACATGTCTAATCCTTTTGATTGTCACCACGACTCTGTTAGGTATATATTATTATTTCTATTATCCCTGCTTCACAAGGAGGAAAGTGAGGCCTACAGAAGTTAAATGATTTGCCCCAAGGATATGGTTTATACAAGAGAGAGCAAGGGGTTGAACTTAGATCTGCTTAGCACTGAAGCCCAGGTCTTTATCTCCTCCTATACTCTTGCTTCCTGCCCTGTTTTATTTCGATTATTGAGTATGGTAGACATTTGTCTCACGGGTTTTGAGTCCCAGGTAGGAGACTAGGGTAGACATTAAACTATACATTTTATGTGGACATGCACCATGTGTATTTTGCTAAGCTGAATCCCCAGCTTGTCACATAGGACTTGATACCCAGAAGGCACTTATATTTGTAAAAGTGTAAGTTCAGCTGATGTAACAAAGAAACTCCAAAACACAGATGTTTATTTCCTTCTCACATAAGAGTCCATGGCAGGTAGGTAGAGTCGACCTTTCCATTTTCAACAAGCAGACAAGTAACAGCAAAAGTTCAGGTCAAGGATTTTTTTTAAGCAAGTGATGCCAAAGTTGCCCTTGTCACTTCCATTCACTCTCCATTAGTGCAAACTTAGGTCACCACCCCTCCCTATAAGATGGGTCAGAAAATATACATTCTAGTTGGACAGCTACTTTCTCAGGAAGGGGAAGAGAATAGATTTGTGGGCACCACCAGAAATTTCCATTACAGTGCTCAGTGAACATTTTATTGAACGAGTAAATGAGGAAAATCAAAGCCTGTAAGCAAACATGAGCCCCAATGAGACCGAGACAAAGGCGTTAGCTTGATCCACTAGCTCAGAGACCTATGTCAATGTGCCAATACGTCTTTCCAGCTAATTCTTGCAAAAACACATCTTTAGTCATAGCCACCTATTGTAAGTGTCATTTCACTCTAATGTTTTCCTTTAATCTGTGACTGTCAACTTTTCTCTTGAATATCAGAATGGGACCGAAGCTAGAGAAGAGTTTATGTGAGCTCCATGGATTATGCCACTCTCTTAAGGGAGATACAGTGACAGGTTATACAGCACTTATCTATGTCAGCTATCAGGGACTCTTCATCCTGGAGCAGGGGAGAGTATCACGAGTTTTAGCTGGTTATTTGTGATCCTCTTTCTGAACTACCTTGGAATTAGAAGAGAGTAGCTCTGACACTGGCAAATGTAGTTTTAGTTCTCCAAAAAGAAATTTTCTACCTTTGGGCTTCTAGACTCTGTCAGATCAATATCCTAGCTGGGAACTCTATCCTAGCAACTTCCTCTTTTCTGCAATGTAACACTTGCCTTGTTTCATTAGAGTTTTTTCACAGCCCCTGTAGGGGCATGTATTGTATGATGATCCACTGGTAGCAGATAATTCGCCCCACAGAGTGAGACCACTTTCCTTTGTTGCCTGAGGGTATGACAGATCCTTATTAATTTCACCGAGTCAACAGCCAGAATTGCAATAGACTTTGTGAGTGCAGAAGAGAAAAAGGTACAGATCAGGGGGAGTAGTCAGTGAGCACATTTTCTTCCAAATTTACCAAGGTGGAACCTTCCTCTCTCACTTGTAAGGCTGAAAAAAAAAATTAAAGAATAACTACTGAAATCTCATATCTCTTTAAGCTCTTTCATTCCTAAGAACTTAAAGTGACTCTGTAGACCTACATCTCATTTATTTTCATGACATCCCTGTGGAGTCAGAGGCTAGTTTTTCTTTTACTGTCCAGAGGAAAAGCAATGCACTAAGAACTCAAGTGACTTGTATTCAAGGTCAAAAAATGAGTCAAGTTGTAAAGCCAATGCTTGAATTCAGGCTTCTGGCTTCTCACCTAGTGGCTGCTTTAAGATGATAGTATTTGGGGAAGAAACATAGATGGGAGAACTTAAAATATAGATAAAGACACGATATATTGAGGTTCAGATCTGGAAATGTTCCTTAGTTCACAGATGTAAAAAAATGCTTTCGAGGGACTTCACTGGTGGCACAGTGGTTAAGAATCTGCCTGCCCATGCAGGGTACACAGGTTCGAGCCCTGGTCCAGGAAGATCCCACATGCCACAGAGCACCTAAGCCCGTGTGCCACAACTACTGAGCCCGTGCTCCACAACAAGGGAGGCCACCGCAATGAGAAACCCGCACACAGCAACAAAGAGTAGTCCCCGCTTGCTGCAACAAGAGAAAACCTGCGTGCAGCAATGAAGATCCAACGCAGCCAAAAATAAAATAAAATTTTAAAAAAAATTTAAAAGAAAAAGAAGAATGGGGGATATTGGCCATGGCACATAACTGATGCTCATTAAATTGTTGTGGAATAGAAGGGTTATATAACAAAAAGTGGGTGAACAAAATCACCTCAGATTTGTAGGGTTGGAGCAAGATCTCCTTAGCCCCTATGGTACCTTTGTACAAATTAGGCAAAATGCTTTTCTTCCAGGTGCACACAGCCCTAAGTCAGGGTGCACAGCTTGGTGAGTGAAGCCCTGGCTGGATTTCAGTGTCACTTATCCAGCCCTTCAGCTGGATGCTCTTTATGGCAATCTTGGGGTAGAATAGCACCCTTAAAAGTCACCTAGTCCTACTCCCCACGTTCAGGGAATATAACATCATGTCCACCCCACAATAGAAGTGAATCCACTTTTAAAGACCTCTTGGAAAAATATTTTCACTTCATCAGTTTCTCATAATATTCTGAAGTCCTTGAGGTTAGGCTAAGGTTCATCTCTATATGAAGGGGGAAAAGAACAGCAACAATGAGGACTGCATAGATTATGAGCTTGCAGTGGATTTAACAAGGTTCACAAGAGGCCAGTTTATAATAACCTTTCCACTGGAAGTGGAAAACATCAGAGGGAAGTGCTGGTATACAAATATGCAGCCTGGCCAACTTCAGACAGTCATTCAGAGAAGAGAGCCTAAGTTTCCATGAATCAGGACTGTAGGTATCTGTAGCCCATGTAGATCACAGGAAGCACTAAAGCCCCCAAGACATAACTAGTTCCTACAGAAGCCCTCTTTCTTAGACTCTATTAATTTTGGTAAGAATATAATTGTAAACACATGGTCACACTAATGTTGGATGATGGGTACATTTTAATTCACAGCTTAAGAAAAAGAAATGGACAGAAATGAAGTGACTAGCTCACATGGCATTAGCAAACTTTAAATTTCTAATTCCATCTTTCCACTAAACCTGATAATTTCTAGAGTTGACCAAATAAGTCCCTGAAATACCAGTAATGTGAATACTTATCATGTGTCAGTTACTGTGCTAAGTTCTTTCTATAGTGTATGGACTGAATTGTGTCCCCCCTAAAATTCATATGTTGAAACTCCAACCCACAATGTGACTGTATGTGGAGATGAGGCCTTTAGGGAGATAATTAAAGTTAAATGAGGTCATAAGGTAGGGCCCTAATACTTTAGAGCTGGTGTCCTTATAAGAAGAGAAGGGACACTAGAGGTGTCTTTCGCACACATGCATATGGAGGAAAGACCATATTAGGACGCACTTAGATCCTAGACTTGTGGCCTCCAAAACTGTGAGAAAATAAATTTCTGTTGTCAAAGTCACCCAGTCTGTGAAATTTTGTTATGGTATCCCTCTCTGACTAACACATATAATTAGCTCAAATAAGCTTCTTACTGAGGCCAGTGGTATTATTTTAGGAATTAAGACTAGCGATTAACAGTACAGGTGGTTTCAGAGCCCAACTATTTGACCTTAAATCCTAACTCTACCACTTTCTACTTACGTGACCCTGGGCAAGTTCGATCTCAATCTTTCTTTACATAAGTTTTTCCATGTGAAAATTGGGAATAACAATAGTATCTTTATCATTTTCTATTCATTATTTTATTAAAAATAAAATAATCAGAAAACAAAGAGATTGCCAATACTAAAAAACAGAAATTGTAGGAAAAGAATAGTATCTTCCTTGTTGGGTGTGAAGAGGGTTCAGTGAGTTAATGTTTAAAAGTATTGTATTGCTTGGCACAGAGAATACCCTCAGTATGAATAAGCTATTGTTATTACCCCAATTTCAGACGAAGAAACTGAGGCTTAGGAAGTTTAACTAACTCAAGGTCACCCAGCTGTTATGCTGGGCTGTACCATTATTGTAACTAGATTCTTCATTTGCAGAAACCAAGGACTTAATCTTTACACTGTATTGACTCTGGCAAAGGACAATCAAGTGAGAAATGCAGTTAAAACCTTTTCC